TATCTTTGTTCAACAATTACGTCGAAACTAATAGATGTAGACTAATAAATTTACATTCGTTTTGTAGAATAGCTCAAATACTAATAATAAAATGTAAATAAAACATAACTTAACGACCTGGTTTTTCTTGTGTTGGGAAATAACTGAAAAAGATGTGAAAATAATAATGTTTATTTCTAATTAAATCCATTCTTACACCCTTAAAATGTATGGAAATTGTATCTGTTTTCTACTTCTACTAATAGATAATTTTATTGGCTATCGCATGATATAAAATTTTTGCTTATTAATGTTAAACTACCCACGCTATCACTTGTTTTTCAAGGAAGAGGTGAAAACTTGAAATCAAAAACTTAAATCCTTGTAAATATGCGAGAAATGCGTCAAGCCCCAAATTTAAAGTATTTTCACCGATAAAATTGTCCATAGATTGCGCCCTTAAAGTTTGATCACTACATGCCCGGACACACTGTATAAAATGACAGATGTAAACGAGGCCTCCAGATTCCTGTCTGACCACCTGACTGACGCAGTGAACAGAAACACTACTGTTATTCCCATAGCCAAGCGTAAAAGATTAATTAAANAATAAAAATCTTGACACAGAATATTCGTAGCATAACCTGCAACATTGACAATTTTACTACTCTGCTTACGAGAACCAACCTGTCTTGGGACATACTAATCATGACGGAATGTTGGCTGCCATCTGCAAGGTATATACCGGAATTAATTCAGTATTCGTATGCTACGACAAAAAATAACATAACTCAAAATGAAGGAGTCGTGGTATATTACAAATCAGTTATTTGTCCGGTTATAGATGAACCACAGCTTAGTGAAGCAAATTGCTTGACGATTAAGTTAAATTCTTCTACTGTCATTGTTGCCATCTACCGTCCCCCAGGATATAGGGAATCACAAAATTTTATTGCCTCCTTGAGAACAGTTCTGACTAATTTGAAACACTTTCCTAACATTATATTGACAGGGGACATAAACATCGACATAGCACATAACTCCAATGACAAACGCGCATGGGACTATCTAGATTTGCTGGCCGAGTTCAACATTCATACTGGTCACAATATCCCAACCCACAATCGAACCTGCCTGGACCACGTCATGGTCAAATCAGAAAATGAGGCAAGATGTTTTGTTTTGCGAACTTCTGTCACGGATCATGATAGTGTAGCAGTAAATATAAACCTTCAAAAAGAGCCTCCTCTCTCATGCAAGACTAAACGCTGTATTGACCAGGCGGGAGTTGACACGGCGATTAGGAGCATTGACTTCGCGCCATTATATAAAATGACAGATGTAAACGAGGCCTCCAGATTCCTGTCTGACCACCTGACTGACGCAGTGAACAGAAACACTACTGTTATTCCCATAGCCAAGCGTAAAAGACTAATTAAACCTTGGATTACTCCTGGTCTTCTTAGGTGCATGCAACATAGGGATAATCTACATAAAAAGACCTTACACAATCCAGATGACCAAAACCTATCCTTAACCTATAAGAGATACAGGAACTTTTGTAACGCAATTTTAAAGAAAACTAGGCGCGCATATGAGAGGAATTTGATTCAAGGCTCCAGTAACAGTAGCAAGAAACTGTGGGAGGCAGTGGTCAACATCACACAATACAAAAAACCAAAAAGCACATCCGCTCATCTAATAACAAACGGTGATCCAATGGAGGGTGTCAACACGGCAAACTCTTTCTTTGCAAATATTGGCAAAAACCTTGCAAGCAATATTGCTGGCGGTAGTAACACCGCTTCCTCAACTAGCTCCATTCCTTCCTCTGTGGGTTCCATGGTTCTACTCCCTACCGATGAGGCTGAAGTTGGTTGTCTTATTATGAGTCTGCGTGATGGATGTGCCGTGGGTATTGACCGGATTTCTGGACAACTTCTGAAACAATATAGTGACCTTGTGATACCGCCGATCGTATTTATCTGTAACCTCTGTATGACTGCTGGCGTATTTCCGGATATTTACAAGCGGTCACTTATCATTCCGGTCCATAAGGGTGGTGATAGAGACAATGTTAATAATTACAGGCCAATATCTCTGCTCCCTGTCCTGTCAAAGATTGTGGAAAGATTAATGAATAGGCGGTTGATTGACTTTCTTGATTCTCACAATATTATTTCTTCCTCACAATACGGTTTTCGCTCAGGGCGGTCAACTGACGATGCTGTTCATGATCTAACTGACTTTGTTGCCACGAATTTGGACAGGGGTGAGAAAGTTATTGGTATATTTCTTGACTTGGCCAAGGCCTTTGATACGGTCTCTATCACGATCCTACTGGAGAAAATGGAAAAGTTGGGTGTGAGGGGACTAGCTCTCCAACTATTTACCAGCTACTTAACGAATCGTTATCAGGCTGTCAAAATTGATGAATGGATTAGTGGAGAGCTGCCTGTCACTTTCGGTGTGCCGCAGGGCAGTGTCCTTGGACCCACGTTGTTCCTCATCTACATTAACGACCTGTGTCAGATGAAACTTCAGAATGGTAAAATAGTGGCTTTTGCCGATGACACTGCCTTGCTGTTCCGTGGTCGTGGTTGGGAATCGGTCTTTCGTTTTGCCCAGGCTGGATTTGAGTTGGTCTCGGATTGGCTGGCCGGTAATTTGCTGTCACTCAATGTAGGCAAGACCAAATATATGACGTTTTCGATTACTAGGAGGAATGTTCCGGTTAACCTTAATCTTACATCACACTTGGGCTCATGCCAGAGGTTGACTGCATGTGCAACGTGTTCTTGTCCTGGCCTAGTCGCCACTGACTCTGTGAAGTATTTGGGTGTCATGATTGACTGCTGCCTCAACTTCCAACCCCACTTAAATCTTCTTGCTTCCAGGATAAGGAAATTAATATATATATTCAAAACATTACGCCATGTTGCTGGCTATAAGGTCATAAGGACAATCTATTTGTCTCTTTGCCAATCCCTCATAGGGTATTGTATCTCCTCTTGGGGTGGTGCTGCAAAAACTCATTTATTGAGAGTGGAGAGGGCGCAGAGAGCGGTGCTCAAGGTTGGTGCATTCTTACCCATTCTACATCCCACAACAGAGGTATATAAACATTGGAAAGTGTTAACTGTCCGACAACTGTTTGTACTTGCTGTCATACTTCGCAAACACGCCCTCTTCCCATATAACCCGCTTCTTAACGCTGACAAACGCAGGAAGGGTACTGTATGCTCCACCGTCCAATTCCAAACAAAATTTGCCCACAGATTCTTTTGTTTTCTGGGAAACCGACTCTACAACAATGCTAATTCTACCCTCACCATCTACCCTCTTCTGCATCGTGAGTGTAAAAAGAAAGTTTCAGAGTGGCTCATGGACTTGAGCTATGATGAAACCGAAAAGCTAATAACAGTGTTAACATAAATACCAAAACCACACACACACACACACACACACACACACACACACACACACACACACACATATATATATTTCTTGTATTTATTGTAATTCTGATACGAGTAAGTTAATATTAAAGTGTAAAATTAAAGCTTATTAGTGACCTGAGGTGGTGGGAGCCTGATGACCTGTAATACAGGTATACTAAATACCTAGCATAGGCATCAGACTCACACAAGAATGAACATCAAACGTATCTTATACATTCACTATGTAATTCTGTTGGATTTTTTGTGTGAGTAAAAAAAAAATAAATAAAGATTTTTAACATAAAATACACAAAAAATGCCAACAAATAATAAAAAATGATACTTTTTGAAAAAAATCTGCTTTTAAATTCGTGTTTTTTTGGTTATTTGTTAAATTTCTCCAAAAAATGCCCCTATAACCGGTGGTTTTTATTACTTTGTATTATTCTCTATCGTATTACCTTCGTACAACCAAAAATCGCATGTCTCTATCCCTATCACAACGTTTGCAATGATCGTTTGAACTAAGCCTCTCCGGGCGCGCCATTCAACGCTTCGTTAACAACGAAACTGAAAATGGCCCTAGATTTGTAATTTTGATAAAGACAAGTTAGATTTCAAATAAAAACAAAAGATTTCGAAGTAAAATAAGCATTTTAGTTAAAATTAAAATTGTCTCTACCTGTAGCGGAGAATAATGTTGTGGCAGGCCTTTGTTCAAACTATTATAGCAAATGTTGTGATAGGGATAGAGACATGCAATTTTTGGTTTTAGAAAGATAATACGATAGATAATAATACAAAGTAATAAAAACCACCTATTATAGGGGCATTTTTTGGAGAAATTTATCAAATAACCAAAAAAACACGATTTTAAAAGCAGATTTTTTTCAAAAAGTATCATTTTTTATTATTTGTTGGCATTTTTTGTGTATTTTATGTATTTTTTTAGTATTGCCTGTTATTTAGCATTATTACTGTTTTTATATTATCAGGATATACCGCTTAGTTTAAAAGTTATTACGTTTTCTTTACAATAAGTAATCGGAAGAAAAAAAATTCTATAAAAAATTAAAAAAAAATCTCAAAAATTTTTTGACCTCTTTTTTGTCGATAAAAATAGGTCTAGTTTCATCTATTTTCATATGTACACTTTAACGTGACTCACACTGTATAATTAACAACAGTGATACCTACGCCGTAGAATATTACGGATTTTTTCTTTTAATTACTTATTGTAAAGAAAACGTTATAACTTTTGTATTAAGAGGTATTATAGTTACTCTGATAAAATAAAACAGTCATGATATTAATAAAAATTATGTAGGTACATAAAATACCCAGAAAACAAGTAAGCCGCCCGGAGCAAAGGAGCAAACTCAATTTTAGAAGTCTGCAATCGCAGCTCTCATTTGCATTAAAAAATTAAAATCTGCATCTTTTAGAATAATTTAGTTATATTTATTTTTGATTTAATATCTCGGTTTCAAAGAAATGTATAAAAGGAATTTATCGATAGTTAAGTTACTATCAAATGCGCACGTCACTATAGTCATCTTACTTGTCATTTCTTTCGTAGTTTCTGCGTGAAGCTTCTGTCTGTTTGAGATGATGTTTTCCTTGCTTTTTATTAAATACTAATGCATCTTTGTGCTTTTTATGTGCTAAAGTGAGTGAAAAGTGTCTAAAAAACAAAGTGAAAGTGCAGGCCTTGCCACCGGCACGAAGTTCTGTCAGTTTAGTGTTTTGAAAAGTTTGGACAAAGTTTACGCTTGGGAGTGGCGGTGTGTATGTGTTGTCATGTCTCAAGAAAAGTTTATATCACTTGTGATAACTTGATAGTCACTACCCCGGAGCACAGAAGTTGAGATGGAGCCTGGTACGGCGAAGATGGATTCCAGTTTTGTGGGTAAGTAGGTAGTCGCGTCATAGGTCTCGTGTTGTCGTTAGTTGGGGCAAGGCCTTGAAAGTGGTTTGTGGGAGAAGTTTAGGGCAACGTTGCCTACGGTCTCGAGCCTCGCTGCGTGGGTGCTTGCAAGACAGTTGATACATGGCGGCCGAATACCGACACTATCTTATCACTTGTGTACACAGCCATGATAAAACTAGTGCCTAAACCAGCTTTCCCCACATATGGGAGAATATAGATCATCCTCCGTGCCTGCTGATAATTTAGGTGTTAGGATTTGGATAACAATTTTGGGCACGTTTGAGTGTTTAACTTTTTGTTAATCAGGCCCATAGAATTTAAATGTCAAAAAATTAATTATCATTTACAAAATTTAGTAGTCAAATAAGACATAATTACTCCAATCACCATCGTCATTGCAGGAGGCCTGTAGCAGCCTAGACAGGCTGCTTGCTTTCTGGGGGATCTGGGGTGGTTGGAGTAGGAAGATAAATGCGGGCAATGGCCCAATCTGAGGCTAAGTGTGGTATTAGATTGCCTGCAAAACTAACTATTGTCATTGTCGTCGTCGATGAACTTCGACTATCACCAAGAATGGCACAGTGTATGTTGTTGTCATGCTATACTGTTATCTACTAGTGCATATTATTTTTCATGACCCATTGTAACTACCATGGCATCCATATGCAATGAATGTGGGTCAGGTATGAAATTTAGTAGCGTCATGGGAGGAATAACCACAAATTCTATTTTGTAAATAAGCCAACTTTCACAATTTAATAAAAAGTAATTAAATATACTTTGAAGATTTTTAATAAAGAGAATCACGGTAAGCTACTGGTGTTATGGGTGGAATAACCACAATAGTCCAGTGGTGGCAGAATTTAATATTCAATCAAACCCATGTTCCTCAGATTTCAATTCATTCGATTGCTTAGTAATCACCTAGCAAGTAGAAATATTTTCTATGTTACTGTAAGTACCTAATTACAATTGAAGGAGTGGATGTCTACTTTTCCAACTGCATACAGTCCATTGTATGTAGGACATAGGCAACTGCTAGATTCTTAACTGCATGTTATTGCAGTAACCATTTTTACACTTACCTAATTGTTTTAGGTACAAAATAATTAAAAAAAAATATTCACTATTTATATTTTTTTACGTATCTAAGCTATTTGAATACCTATAATATAGTTATTACTTCAGTTTACGGTCTATTCTGATTGACAATGTGCATGCACTAATGAAAATTTTACTCTAAAAAATTTTAAAAAGGAAGTTCTGAATCAGTTTAAAACTATAAATCAGAACGAAATTTCTACACAAGGATTCATTCATTTATACTTATGCAATGTGCAAACATACAACATGATGTGGCGTGTAAATAGCCACACCAGGAATAAAAATTGCGGGGAAGAAAGATGATGCGGGGGTCGGCTGGTGACTCCAAACAACTCAAAAATACAGCTGCATAAAACGGAAACCACCAACCTGCGGATCAGGAGACGGAGACCAGGCTTCGAGGGTCGACCCGTCGATATTTCTTGCGGTTTTGATTATTTCAATATCTTCAGCAAATATTCAGCGGATTTTTCACATTGACTTCGTTGACAGACGTTCCAAGACAAGATAGAGTTTTTTCTTAATTTCCCATAGAGGTTTTTCGCGAAGGTTGGCTCCTGCGAAGGTGCTGGCCCCGAATCCGATAAACAGATTAGTGGGAAACCATCTCATGCAGCTAGATAATTTTGAGAGTTGGAGCCACCGAAGAAAAGGAAGAGAAGAAAGATAAGAAAGTTGGACATAGGCCCAACCACAACATGTTCATTGCTCATTATGTTATTTAAACTTAATTCAATTCTTAAATTATTTCAACATCAACAAACTGAATGTTTATTAAAAATCCAACCGTCTATGTCTTCTAACCAGATTGCAAGATATTTCATATGGGCACACAGACTCTGTCATGCACCAATTGGACTGAAGAAAGCTAACTTAGTATGAAATATAATACCTTTCAGCAGATCATATTCCTCCAAAGAACAGGTTTCCCTGCCTCACGCAATACCTCCTTAGCCGCGATACCCACTGCTGTGTGGACATTGCAATTTTATAGTTGTATTTATGCAATGCAAAAAAAATGAGAATTTAAGTAGTTCAATGATTTTACTGTTGACCTACAAATCATTCCTTAAATTGTTTAAAACTAATCAGATCATCTATGTTGGTGTGTATGATGTAGGCTAGGAATGACCATGGCAGCTCTCAATCAAATGATATATTAATCAATGGATTGTTTAATCCACTGGTTAAAACTTATCTTACTTCTTTTTCAGAGAAACAGTATTATTAAACTCTTTAAATTGAAGGTCTTTGATTTGTTTGCATCCAAGTCTCAGTCCATATTCATTTTTTTATAGCTGTTGACATGATGTCATGACACTAATTCCACTCAGTGACTAACTTTTAACTAGTTGAGTGAGCCGAGTTTTATTACGAGCTTAGATCCTAATGGCTGTAACAATATGTAACGTGGGAATCATTCTGTTATTTTATTTCATTGAAACATTGCTATTTTTGTCTGAATATTCTAATTGGATTAAATTATGTACATTATGAGCTGTACAGGCCATCCATTCTTGCAAACTCCCTCCCATTCTCACAATATTTTAAACAGAAATTAGTTAATGCAACATAATATAATACTAGTTTATGGTCGCGGGTTCGCCCGCGTGAATTTCAGTCATCGACATTTGTCACAAAATGTCTCTGTCCATTATTGGTTCCCCTTTTAGAGGTTGAATTATAAAAACCCTGAAACACGTGTTTACTTATCAACTCATCTTGTTTCCCCATACATATTGAATCCACATTTAATCTCCCAAGGGGGTGAATTTTGAAGTCTTCTTTCCTACACTACTTAGCCGAGGGGCGTCTGCGCCGGGTCTGGCGGCGCGCGTACGGTTATTGTCATAATCGGCTCGCGCGGCGCCGCATACAAACAACTGTTTACCGCGTTTATTATGCACAGGTCGGTCGATGCATCCTACACCTGTGGGCTATGGTCTATACTTTGGATTAGTAAAATGCTGGTTTCAACGTCATGAATCTTATACAGCGTGTATCCAACTGTACCCAAGGTGTACCCTAAAAGATCGAGACATCTTACTACTTAAAACTATTACTTATAGGCATACATAGCAGAAACAGCAGATTACAAAAATCAACCGCCAAACTCGAGTCTAATAATAAACAATTTATCTGCCTAATAACAATACACCTACCTATACACTCTTTCTTTCCTAATCGGTTTCAGCTTGAGGTATTGGTGCGTACAGGGTTTGTGAAGCCGGGACAATAATAAATTATACAACTTTGGAAACCAGTGTATTATTACTGTAGCTGTCTCAGGAAATATCGTATGGCGGTTACTGGCTTAGGACTGTATTTAAACCTTGTCGATATCATTATTGTTATTAATTGATAACTAACACAGATAAATCTGAGGTATCGTAAAATAATAAGTTTACCACTTCTAAACCCTATCGTACTGTTTTTTCTTATTGGATTGTGACATCTACTTGGACACTCAAATGACCAGTGGGTGCCAAGGCCATTTTCGTTTACTTATGTCGGTATTATCTATTCATCACTATCATTAACGTTCGAGACTTTTTCATTGATTATTGCCGCAAAGTCAAACATCTAGGTTTTGTATTTAAAAATTAAAACATTGTAGTGATTATAGGTATTGTCCAAAGTAATTAAAGTCTATATTCATGTAATATGACGTAGGATATAATAGCAGGATTTATTAAGTTTGCATTGATTAAACAATTAAGACGTTTCATTAGAGCGTCTATTTGTTTCTTTATTGATTTGGATCTAATCAGAATGTGATATTGTAAGTTAGGTAGTATCTGCTTTGTGTTTTTGCTGGCAAGTCCCGTCGGCAGCTCGCGAGCAGACAGGCGCGTCACCCGCCGCCTAATGAAGAGAAATTACTCGAAATAATTGTTCCGCTGTGCGCCGGAACACGGAATGTTTTGGTCTCCATGCCGCGTGCCGAGCTGCTGTCGCGCTCCATCGGCCACACATTTCTCAGATGCTGTTAATCTTCTTCATTAATTACTTCCTTATCGCATTAACGACGTGTGATGGGTGGTTAAATAACAAAATTAAAATTCGGTTAATTTTTCTATAATTTTCTTCATGGATTTCAAAAATATATTTTACGCCTTCGTAATTTATCCTTATCATCCACGATATATTTCCAATTTTTCCGTACGGAATCCTGAAAATACACTATCAGGCGTTGACCCCAGTCTATTCACTAATCTGCCTGTTTAACTTATCACAGTGCACAGTAACTATTCTATTTTGTGCTAATATGAAAAAATGAATTATTCATTGAGACGTATAGGTCTCACCGTAAAAACCTATATTGTGTTTAGTTGGTTGTTGTTTTACAGTTAAGTCTAAAGTTCAGTATGGGTGTCTTCTTCTTCTTCTTTTCAGCCAAATTGAGGCGCGGCCGCGCGCGTATTTGTGTATGATAGGGCTGGATACTGCGGGTTTCTTGATTAAAACACAATCTTCAGATATGACACTTGTGTATTCGTGGGAGCCGAGACGAGAGAGAGAGAAACATTGCCATTACACAAAATATAAATTCCACAGCTTAGTGTTGCCATGCAACATACTGGGGCCCCAGGAAGGGCGAAAATATTTGATAGTTACACAACATTAATTTTACTATTAATTAGTAGGTAACTAAAGGTAAGTTAGACTAATAATACTCATTACAGTACACATTTTGTACAAGACATAATTTGTAATTTGTTACATCTTGTAAGTAATCATAAGATATTATGCACACGTAACTAAATTAACAGTAAGTTTATTAATTAGCCTTAACTTCTAAAATTAAGTGATAACATTTTACAGATTATCATCTATTGGCAATAGACACACTTTATGTATGCCACGAACATGAG